TGAAGAATCAATCCTATTGTTTACTCACTAAAACATCATTTATAAACAGAAAAACAAAGTTTGAACTTTATACCAATCGGCAGGAATAATCATTCTATCTAGTAAATTATCTCAAGATATTTGAACTCGATAAAAGTTTAAAGTAAGCTTTGTACAACTTGTTTCTATAACGTGACTGGAACAAAAGTCAATGAATGAACAAATATACATGTCATGTATATCCATGCAGCAATGTTAAGAAGCCTCGCAATTCAGCCGCCATGGTTGTCAGAAGGCCTGTTACAGTGTTTGTTTTGCTGCCGGTTAATACACTTGGTGAAAGACCTTCCTTGTACATTGATGCTCTTACAAGCCAAGTACAAGTCACGCTGATAAATTTAAGTTATATATAACAGTCACTGTAATACAAGTCTAGTATATTACTACATCTTATTACAGGATATATTGCAATTACATATATTATTGGTATTACAGTATATGTTATTGGTATATGACAGGATACTACTACATGTAAGTACATGTACAATTGACAATTTCCTCGAATTCTGGTTTCTAACGGACAGTTGTAAGAACAGATAGTGCCTGAATAGTGCCTGAATGGGTTATGCAAGAACTTAGATTTACCTTACTCTCCAAGCAGAGATTGTTGGGGGAACGTTAACGTTAGGGCCCAGGGTCCCAGGCTGTGACGCGCGTGTCCGGGGCGGTGCTAGGACTAGGAGCGAGGCTGGTTTTGCGCGTGCTCCGGTACCAGATCGCCAGGAAAACGGCCGAGGCGAGAAGGATCCCGGCTACTACGCCAAGGATGCCGCTGAGGAAGGATGCCAAGGAGAACGCCCAGGAAGTTGTACTATCCGCTGATGATCCACCGGCCGGGGTACTATGGGTCGGGACCCCCCTGGGAGGGGTACTGTTGGCTGAAACCCCACTGGCATTGGCAGTGACATTGGCAGTGACATTGGCAGTGGTTGTTTGTACACAGATCAGATCTTCAGGATTTACAGTCAATAATGATTGTCCTGCAAGATTACCGGGTCCGGCACAGGTGATCTGGCTCTCAAAGGAATGAGACCCGTTCATCTTTTGTTTAAAGGGAAGCATCCTGCAGTCACACTGCCAGGGGTTGCCGCGAATGTTTATATTTGGGAAAGACGCCAGTATGTCATATGCTGCGGACGGGAGTGTTTTCATTTGGTTGCGGTTCATGTCAACCCCTATCCCTGATGAAGTGTTAAATCGCCTAAGATTCGATAGGGCCTCAACGGGGAATGTGTTGATGTCATTGTCAGAGAGGTCAATGTATTGGAGCTCTGGTAGATTTGCAAATACACCAGCTGCGATGGTGCTGATGTCGTTGTGCTGAAGGTCAAGCTCGTGGAGCTGCGGTGTCGCGTCGAAGGTTCCTACTTCGATACTGTGGATGTTGTTGAAACGCAGGGAAAGCTCCTGAAGGTTATCAAGTCCCACAAACATGTCAGCTCGGAGAATGGTTAACTGGTTACTGCTAAGCCACAGGCGAGTTAACCTGGATAAGCTGTAGAACACTCCACCGTACATGTTAACTGTGGAGATCTGGTTGGAATTAAGATATAAGTGTGTCAAGATGCTGTACCTGGAGAAGTCGAACGGACTTAAGGTTGTGATGTAGTTGCTCTGCAGGGTCAGCTGAGTGATATTTGTAGGCAGGTCCTGAGGAACACTGTTGAGGACTCTACTGCTGCAGTCACAGTACCATGAACAGCTGCTGCCGCAGGCTTCGGTCGGTCCAGCTTCCTTCAGGATGATCAGCAGAAGAACCAAAAACCTCTTCATCTCGTAAGACATTTCGCCTGGACGGCAGAGATTCGACATATCATAATTGTAATCTACATTTTACCGAGCCTTGTAACGCACATTTTGGTTTCTGTCTTTACTACAAAACCGCCATTTGCTTACTGTGACAATGCTGATATTTGTTAGAAAAATGTTAGAACATACATTAAGAAATGATGGTTGCACAGGCACGGTTCTGTATACGCGTGGACTATCCAGAACCGTACCTGATCATGATTCTGGATAAAACACAATGTCGGAGAAAAAGGAAGAAAGATCACTTACGATAAGAATGGTTCCTTCTCCTCCCTGCCACAAACTTCGTACCGACCGGTTCTGAGTCCGCCCAGTATAGCTCTAGGTTTGCCCTGAAGTAGTCGGCGCTCTTTGATTTTACCTGTAATAACTCATGACCACGCCATTTTGTGTGCCCAACAAACGCTCGAGCTTATCATTAGTAGTTTATAGCACAGCTGTTTCACGGTAATCTTGAAGTGTTTTGAAGCCTTGAAAGTTATAGTCACTCCAATCTGCCTTCCTTTAAAGTAACTTCATATCCAATACCGCCTGTCTAGTTGTATGTCTCATGGGTTAGGGTCAGGTATTTGTACAGGGATAGTTACAAACCAGTCTACTGCAGACCTGGGCCTGGACGTGTGATTTCAGCCAGAAGGGCGTCAAACAAACTGTTTTAGTGTTTGTTTGGCTGCTGTGGATTATACAATGGGTGAAAGAAGCACGTCGGCAGAACGTACTGCACCTGCGCAAATCCCGTAATGTATTATACATAGCACTTCGGCAGAACGTCTCATATAAGGTTGTATTTGCTCATATAAGGTTAACATTCCGACAGTAGTTTCCAAATGTTATGTCGGAAAGGATATCCTCTGCAACAGGCAAAATTCTGATGCAACGTTGACCAAAAATCCAAAGAAAACCGCGAAAATCCACGGTTCCTCGCAGGCGCAGTACGTTCTGCCGACGTGCTGGTGAAAGCTTTTATAGTTATGCTCTAACAAGCTAAGTACAGGTCACGCTGATAAATTTTCATGTGCAATATACCAGTCACTGTATTACAAGTCCGGTATATTACTACATCTACAGGATACTACTATGTGCATGTACAATTAATAATTTCTACGAATTCTCGTTTCTAAGATAATTGTAAGAACAGATAGTTCCATGACTAAATTGGTTACGGTGAGGACCAGGCACTGAGTTCTGGATAGTCTCTGTGTATCCAAGAACGCAGGTTTGGCTATAGCACGGTTCTGGATACACGTGGACCATTCAGAACCCTGCTCAGGCATGGTTCTGGATAAAGCACGGTTTTGGATAGAGCATGGTTCTGGATAGAGCATGGTTCTGGATAAAGCACGGTTTTGAATAGAGCACGGTTCTGGATAAAGCACGGTTCTGGATAAAGCACGGTTCTGGATAAAGCACGGTTCTGGATAAAGCACGGTTCTGGATAGAGCACGGTTCTGGATAGAGCACGGTTCTGGATAGAGCACGGTTCTGGATAGAGCACGGTTCTGGATAGAGCACGGTTCTGGATAGAGCACGGTTCTGGATAGAGCATGGTTCTGGACACAACAGGCAGGTTTCCGGATGACCCGAACGTTTGCTAAGAACATGCTCCCGTGACAACATGACCTGGGGTAGGGTGGGGGGGCAGCACGGTTGGTAACGTTAACGTTAGGGGGCGGGGCTGACTTTGCGCGTGATTCGGTACCAGATCGTCAGGGAAACGGCAGAGACGAGAACGATCCCGACCACCGCGCAAAGGACACCGATAAGAAGGGAGACTTCTCCGGAAGGGGTTGGTGATCCACCGGGAGGGGTACTTCGGACTGGGGACCCCCCTGGAGGGGTACTTTGGGTTGGGAACCCCCCTGGAGGGGTACTTTGGGTTGGGAACCCCCCTGGAGGGGTACCGGTACTACCAGTAGTGATTGTTTCTTCACAGGCCAGATCTTCAGCCTCTACAGCGAGTAACAGGCTTTTCCCTGCAAGGTTAGCAGGTCTGGCACAGGTGATCTGACTCTCAAATGGATAAGACCCGTATACCAGGAGAGTTGCTCAGGAGTACAGTTTGCTCCTTTTGTTTCATCCACACCATATGGAATATGTATTATTCTGTTGGGGGTAACATTCTATCGTTATGTGTACTTTACCTGTTATTGAAATGAGTTATTGAATGATGTATACCGCACCACAAGAAACAGTCATGCCTTCAAATATCAGAGTTATCAACCAAGAATTGAGATATTCAAAAGAACTATCGTAGACTGGAACTCGTTGCCACCGAACACAGTTGGGGCATCATCACTTGAAAGCTTTAAACAACTCCTGCAATCAAATGTGCAAAGATCGAGTGTAACAAGTCGTTCGGTGTGATATAGCTAGCTGCCGTCGCGCCGCGTGCCTGCGAAGCTGGTATGTTACGCCGAAGAGCGGTAACCGGCTATACAGATACAGATACACTGAGATCGATAACCCCAAACACCAAACAATGCAAACTGCACTTCCGTCAACAGGAATGAACCACTCTGAAACAGACACAGGATTATAGTCGTTTTATAGTGAATATCTTATAATTGAAGGACAATTCTAATAGGGAGAAGCTTTGTACAGTTTCCTTCAGTGATATACGTAGAATGATGTAGATTCATAGTAAGCACCACTGAACGTTAAAAACTGCACTTCCGTTCATGAATAGCGTCCGGGAATGAACCACACTGAAATCATGAGGCACAGAATGGAGGTTACTAGTAGTTCATACTAGTATCCAACAATGGAAGGACCAATCTAAGAGGCGAAAGCTTTGTGGGTGATTTCGTTCAGAGAGCGATACAGATCCATGGAATGACATACGTAACACTGACTTAATTTTACCCCCGCTCCTTCGACATCATAGTTCAATCCAAGCGGACGCTATGTGTACTTAAGGGAGCAAAGGTCAGAAGTGAACCGTACTGAGAAAATAGCGACACGGCGACTGTTTCCTTTGTGCTGCCGGAACAAAGCTCAACTTTTACAACTAGCGTCGCCGTGAGTTCAAGTAATGCCGTTGCTGTGAACAGGTATAACGAACGATCGCCGTGACTACATCACGGTCGGCAACAAGCACGGCGACGGTTGGCTGATTTCCCCACCGATAATTTGCAAGTGTCTTCCAATAATCTGCATGTATAAATGATGTAGACAAAAACAGCAGCGACCGATCGATCGCACGTTTAATACGTATCGCGGCCATGCGGATGAAAACGTTGGCGGTTCTGTTCTTCGGTTACGTCGCGTACGTGATCCTGGGAGGAGGGATATTCCACTACCTGGAGTCTGAGAACGAGAACCAGAACTTGAACTTGAGTCCACCCCGGGAAGGTTTTGACTTGCAGGAGATCTTGGAGGAGCTGTCCGGAGAGCACCCGACCACGACACACGCCACACACCTGCATTCTCAGTCCGTAACACTCACACCAGGAGAAAAGGTTCATTTTTGCTTGCCAAAAGCTAGGACTCAACGTCTGAAAAATTCTTTTTTTTTACACTGAGCTAATATGTATAACGACAATGCTAACCGTCAGTAACGATAACCCACGGCTGTACTGTCCTATTTTAGCTTGACCGTCGACCTCTATATAGTGTGTGTTGTTTACTTGTCTTGATTTTTAATATCAATCGTTTGTAAAATTCAAATGCACAATTCAGGGGTACACTAGTCAACTCATGCTTTTGTATGATTTTGCCTAATTGAATAAATTGAAAATTGAATTGAATTTTCAGATCTCTGAGGAAGAGTTCAGTGTAACTGAGGGGCGGCACAACATCACGGTGGACGCTGACAGCCACCTTTCCTGCGGACACGACGGCCTGTCGGCGGTCCTGGAGTCCTTCAGAGCTAAAGTAGGTCGCGTTGACGACGCCATAGCCGATCTACGCAGAGACATGGACGGGACCGGGCGCTGCGTCAGGACCAGGGACATCCCGCTGGTCGTCCTGTCGTACAGCGAGCTGGAGTCCATAGTCAGGCGAGCGGCTCAGGCTGGGAGGGATGGAATAGATCCTGTAACGGGACAACAGGAACAACAACAGAACACCACGAAATGGGACTTTCAGGCCTCGCTGGGATTTGCCTTGACCGTGGTGACGACTATAGGTGATGATGAACACCTTTATTGTACATTTTTGGGCTATAGGCACAGGTCACATGTTAACAAAGTATAGAAATGTAAATATAGAAGTATATAAAAATACACCAACACTTTCGACTCCCTCTCGCTCCTTGGTAATCGCATAAATGTAGTTGGCTGTATGATGAGTTGAGAGTCGGTTTACTTAGTATAAGGTGGTAATTTGAAATGTTAATGTCAACTTTCTTGTTGTACTTAGAAGACTGTACGGATTGTACATTTCTCTTAGCCTCCATAGCATGCCAAAAACTGTGGGTTTGGGGGGTCTTCATGGTCTTTGGGAGCTTTTATCATTTTTTTGTGCTATTTTCTGATTGCCTACAGACAACATAGCCGGCCTGGTTGAATTACCCCCGTTTTTAGAACTGGGTATCGCTTTGTCTGATTCTTTGGCAACTTTCCAAGCGTAGTTACTATCAATTTTAATTCCAATTCTGATCTAGTTTTAATATTGTTCATCATATGAACCCTGTAATTTTTTGTTGTTGTTGACACTGGAGTACGAAGACCACCAAACCCCCAGTTCTACAAGCCTGCTACGGAGGCTACATTTCTCTGTACTATTTTATGTAGGATACGGGCACATCTCGCCAGCCTCGGCTGTGGGCAGGGCTGTCTGTGTCCTGTACGCGCTGTTCGGGATCCCCTTCACAGCCGTCCTCGTCACAAACATAGCACATCATGTGGGAGACCAGGTGTGTCCTCATTAACAGGGGTGCCAGAATATACAGTGCAATTTTACTAATATACAGTGTAATTTTACTAATATACAGTGTAATTTTACTAATATACAGTGTGATTTTACTAATATACAGTGTGATTTTACTAATATACAGTGTAATTTTACTAATATACAGTGCAATTTTACTAATATACAATGCTAATATAAGTGTAATAATACGATTGCACTGTATTCCGTAAAATTGCACTATATACTAATACCATTCATTGTACTGTATTCCGTAAAATTGCACTATATACTAATACCATTCATTGTACTGTATTCCGTAAAATTGCACTGTATACTAATACCATTCATTGTACTGTATTCCGTAAAATTGCACTATATACTAATACCATTCATTGTACTGTATTCCGTAAAATTGCACTGTATACTAATGCCATTCATTGTACTGTATTCCGTAAAATTGCACTGTATACTAATACCATTCATTGTACTGTATTTCGTAAAATTGCACTGTATACTAATGCCATTCATTGTACTGTATTCCGTAAAATTGCACTGTATTCCGTAAAATTGCACTGTATACTCTGGCACCCCTGATTACTAATTATGCAAATCAGGTCATAATTTGCATACTTGTTATCTAATTATGTCAAGCATCACTTTTAAGCTACCTACATACCAAACATCACGACGATCTGACGACCGGTTGTTGAGTTATCCTCTTTCAAACATTTTTAGAATAGCGCCCCTGCAGTTCCAGAAGAAGCTGCTAGAGGATCCAAACTGAAGTCATTACTTTCCGAGCACAAGAGCTATCTGCCATGCATAATTCGTGACCCCAGCATGTCTAGATCATGAAATATCAATAGTGGAAAGTGATACCATAACAAGCCGCCAGAGGGCTCCAAATCTAATAATTTCGAGGTCCGTTACCGAAAATATAACCTCCTTGGCGAAGGTAATAATACAGAAAGACGAAAGATGGTTAGCTGAACTTTCGTGTCATGATCTAAAATCTCCAGTCGTCTGATGTTAGGTTGATGTAAAAAAAATGTTTTCCGTTGTTTAACCATGCAGGTCCGCAAGGCAGCGCTGCGGGTACACAAGGACCACCCGAAGTGGAGCCCGCAGAGAATAAAACGGCTGACGGCGATAACTCTGCTCCTCCTCGGCGTGCTCTCCTTCGTTCTTCTGCCCGCCCTGGTGATCTGGTCCGTCGAGGGTTGGACGTTTTCCGAGACGCTGTACTACGTGTTCATCTCCCTTAGCACAATAGGGTTCGGGGACTACGTGGTAGGGCAGCAGCCGGAGGTTGCCTACTGGCCAGGCTACGTCATACTCATCTTCGTCTGGATTCTGTGCGGGATCGAGTACTTGGCCACGATCTTCGAGCTCATCTCTTTGGGGATTAAGGGGCTGGACTCCAGAATTGGGGGTCCCCGAAAGGACGGCGGCGGTGAGGGTGAACTCGAGGAAAGACTTGAAGACAGAAGTCGAGAAACGACGGTGTAAACTGCATATATTATGTATTTTGCACAGGGCAGTCATTGGCCCCATGGCCATATTCACTAGGATAAAATTGTCCGGATCGAGCCGAATTGATTCGTTTTGATCTGGTTTCGATTCGGCTCGAATAGGATCAAAAAAGCCTTCGGACATCACAAATTTGTGATGATAATGTATGTTCATTCTCTTTTATTGTGTTGTCAGTATGTTCATTTGTTTTATATGTTTGAACCCTGGAAGATTAGTCCTCATGGACTAAAGGGTATCGAAATAAACGAATAAACGAACGAAAGCGAATTAACTCGGCTTGATCCGGATTATTTATTCTAGTGGGAAAGGGGTCTTTGTGTTGCATGTACAGTTGTGTCTGTTATTAAAGAGGAAGATTTATTAACAAACTAAATAAAGAAGACACAACAATTTATATGCAGTCTTATTCTCTAGGCTCTTTATATCATCGTCTGTTAGATGTCTGTCATGTTAACTTCCCTAGCATGTTCTGAAGCCTGGTAGAGGCTAGCCTGAATATTCGTGTCATTACATTGCCTTAGAAATCCACATAATGTGCTTCCAATTCTCTATTCTATACTATACAAGAGCATCCAGTAACATGTTATTATCGACAGAATAACACCAATAACATGATGAGGATAAAAAAAAGAAGAAGAGGGAATACATGTATTTTTGTGAGTTCCGTACATTCTGTCTTTGCTGTAACTGTCAAATTCAAAGTCGAAATTCCTTCCCGGACCTACTAGTATATATGGTGCATAGGGCGGCGCCTATCTCCGTCTCTGTAGCCTTTGAGCCACACAGTTGTGCAATCACATAACAGCTGGGGCTAGTCCACTGGTAGTGGTGTGTATTTAACTCTCATACTCTTTCCCAAATGCTGAGTGCTAAAAAAAAAAAGGTCCCGTCATACTCTGTGTGGCGCTCATCTCCATTTCTGTAGCTCTTGGGCCACACAGTTGTGCAAGCACTACAGCTGAGTACTTAAAGCAGAAGTGAAGTGTCACACAGTGTCAATCCAGGTCCAGGATCTCCTCTTCCGATGGTTTGTAGGTCTGTTGTCCCTCAGGTCCGTCTGGTTTGTTCAGGTCGGAAGAGACGACGCACGCGGTGAAATTCTGCCTCGCCAGGTCTCCCTCTGACGACCTCTCGCGATCGAACGCCCGCATAAACGCGGCGCTCGCCTCTTCCGGACGGCCCGCGTGACGCAACGCGTATCCTATCAACGACCAGGAGAACGGCTTGTCGCCGCTGTCGACGTCCGCCTGGAATTCTCGAACGGTTTCTGCGGCCTTCTCCCCTTCCCCTGTCTCCTTCAGCGCGCGGGTCAGTAGGTAGTAGGCGAAGTGACGCTGGCTCACCGGCAGAGACCTGAATGATACGGCAAAGATAAGAGAGGTTTATTGCAAATCCATGTCCGAAGGCTAATTGCAAAATGCAAGTTACAAACATAAAAGACCATTGAAACAGAGAATAAAATAACTTGAAAATGTACGTAATGAAATCTAATTGTCTAAAACTATTCCTATGTCTGATAAGTGTACAGTCAATTGCAAATAAGCCCTTGGGCTTCATATGAAGTTGTACTTCAATGTTTAAACATGTAACTAACAACACTCATGACAATGTATAGACCTGTCCTTGGCGTTCTTGACTTCTGCTTTTATCTCGTCGAGCAGCGTGGTCATCTCCATCTGGTTGTAGATGAGTCCGGACGCGTCCTCGGCAGACTTGGGGCGGGCCACGACGTCCCTCAGCACCGGCACTGCGTCAGCCCACCGCCCGGTGCGGCACAGGAAGTTTCCGTACTCCGCAAGCAGGCCCATCCCTGCCAAAATAATGACAACTAGAAAGGTAACATTTCCAAAGCAAATGCACAATGTTTACCTTCGCATATGGTCTACTCTGTTAATTTTTACTCAAATACATTCATATATATGGTCAGACAGGAGTAAAAATCCCTCCTACTATAAAATTGCAACATTATGTAACCTAACACCAGTTACCATGGTGAGACATGTCAGCAAATCAGGCCAATTGTCCAGGCCACAGTTCAGTGTTTGGAACGGAAGAAGAAGAAACGTAGCAAAAACACATTGTCAAGATCTCTTCTCTCTTAAGAAGATCCCAGTATCAGACCCATACCGGGTATTCCGTCCTTCCTGTTCTGACTGATGGCCTGTTGAAAGTTCTTCTCGGCCAGTCGGACCATCTCGTCGTATACGTCATCGTTCCCGGCGTCCCTTGCGTGCTGCGCACGTGCGTGGTACATGCAGGCCATGTTGTGCTGGTTGGAGGTGTTGTCGGGAGCGAAAGCCGAGGCCGCCTCGTGGAACCTCAACAAAAAATGTCGGTCTAATTTACTATCATGAAAGTTCATTTGTGTTGGTAGTTACATATTTAGAGTTAAAGCTTTAGATTTTTTTGCAACTAATGGATATCTCAATCAAGTATCAAGTATCCAACACAAAGAAATATCTCACCAGTCACTCTGGCCTTCCTTAGTAGAGACTTAAGAGGCTATTTACATCAGGACCCATCACCCTTCATCCAACCGCGACGGGGGCCGACATCGTCTACCAGATACTAGTACCTTTGACCCAGTGTCGACGTCACACTTCAGAGAAGCCATGTGACAAGCCTCACTGGGTCAGTGTACTGAGGAAGGCCAGAGTGACTGGTCGAAAGCTCTAGGTGAGAGAACTGTATTGTGTTGGATCTTAAGGTTTAACTTTAAACAACTATGAAATACTACTAACTGGATGGTCTCCATCAGCATCCCCCTGTCGTAGGTCTGACTGGCCAGGCTGCGGTACAGGTCCGGCGAGCTCGGGTCCACGTTCGCGAAGATGCGCCCGGCCTCGGCGGTCCTCCCCTCGCGCGCGAGAGACGCCATCCGCAGCAGGTCGTTCACCTTCCTGCCCTCCGAGAAGTCCGGGTCGCTGTCGTCATCGAAATACATCGGCAGGGTCTCCTCGGCAGCCTCGAAGTACGCATGCGCCAGGTCGAACTGCCCCCCTGCGGACAGACACGCTCCGAACAGCGCCAGCGCCTGCGCAGTGGCGACGTCGCCCTCATCCGCCTCATGGTTCAGTTGGATTCTCTCCTGCAGGGCGCCCTGCATGAATGAATGAATGAATGAATGAATGAATGAATGAATGAATGAATGAATGAATGAATGGATTGATGGATGGATGAATGAATGAATGAATGAATGAATGAATGAATGTATGAGTGAGTGAGTGAGTGAGTGAGTGAGTGAGTGAGTGAGTGAGTGAGTGAATGAATGAATGAATGAATGAATGACTGAATGAATGCATGAATGAATGAATGCATGAATGAATGAATGAATGAAACGAATGAATGAAAAAGCTGCTAGGGGGCCCAAACTCAAGTCACTTCTTCCCTTGCCCAAGAGCTGCCTACAATCCAAAATTGGTGACCCTAGTCCAGATCATGAGATATCAAAATAGGAAGTTCTGCTGCAGCACCAACGAAAGCCGCCAGAGGGCCTAAAAGTTACTAGTAATCAGTTCCAGGTCTCATCAAGACCTATCCAATGACAATCCATCCATAGCTTCTTGAGTTTTCTGTTCACAAACAGACAAACAGACGGACAAACACTAAGAAACGCAAACATGTACAAAAGTAGCAGGTAAAGGTTAACGTTGGCGACTATGATTACTTGTACCTTCAAGTGGATGACCGCTTGTTGCACGTCCCCCATTTTTCGCAAGGCGGCGCCCAGATCCTGGCTGTATTTCGCCCTGTTCTCGGCGTCTTTATCCCCGCAGGCGGCCAGCGCCTTTTTCAGAAGGAAGGCGGCTTTGGGGTACTCATCATCCTTCAGGTAGGCGTATCCTTGGCTGGCCAGAGATTCAGAACTTTCAAGAGAGGAACCACCTGTGAAAACATTAGTCACTTTTTGTCACTGCCCTAACTTCATTCAACAGCGAAATGCCCTTTTTGGCAACTTGAAAATACTGATTGGCTTTATTACTGACTTGGATGATCTTTCTGATGATATTCTGGTATATTTACTTTAAAGAGGTTCTTCTTTTCTCTCAAACAATATTCAAAATTTTCTACTTGTACATACCTTTTGTTAGAATCCAATCGTTTTTTGTAATCATCCTTATCAATCCTGCCAAATGGTATTTATATATTTGTTTCACTTCTTCGTTGATTAATTATTGTATTTAATTTCTATACGTGCTTTGCTTGTCGTATGTATTACGTATTGATGCCGACATGAATATAAGTGTAACTTGAGTGTGTCGCCACCACGTCTTGTCACTATCTTTCAATTAAAACAAGAGTTCCACGGTCTCATACCTTCGCCAAAAGATGCAGTTGACGAATTATACAATTTTAATCATTGTTTTTGTAAATAACAGCCTCATTTGTACGGATTATATCAGTTTGGTACCTACATACCAAAAATCATGACAATCCTTCAACCGGTTCTTGAGTTATCCTCCTTCGAAAAGATTTCAACAAATGCTCCTGCAGTTAAGGAACAAGCCGATAGGGGAACCAAACTCATGTCACTTCTTCCCTATCCCAAGAGCTATCTGCCATCCAAAATTCGTGACCCTAGCATGTCCAGATCACGAGATATCAAAACCGGAAGTTCTGCTGCAGTACCTAGGAAAGCCGCCAGGGAGCCCAAAATCTAATCATTTCTAGGTCTCATGAAGACCTACCCACCTATCAAGTTTCATTCCAATCCATCCACTGCTCCTCGAGTTATCTTCAGTTGCTAAACCACACACACACAAACACACACACACACACACACAAACGCTACTGAAAACATAACCTTCTTGATGAAGGTAAAAAAAAACACCTTCTTCTGATGCGTCTATCTGGGGGCGGTGGGCTTCAGGCATGTCGGCGATGTCGGCAGCGTCTCTGGTCCACGTCTGGAGGAGACGGGCGAACGCTGCGGCACATTTCTCCCTCCGCGGGGAAAGTCGTCTCTTGTAGTCAGCAAGCAGACCTCCTCCTTGTCGCCCCTCTTCTTCAGGGTCGATTAGCATCGACAAATCATCCTCAGGAGCAGCGACGTCATTTTCACTGTCTTCTTGAGAGCCTGCATGGGGGGAGTAGTAGTGATTACGAATTACGCCAAATTTTCGCCGCCGATTACGTTAAATTTTCAGAGCTGATTACGAACAATTACGTGTTACGGCTAATGTGTACTGATTACGAATTACGTTGATTTTGGTGGGCTGCCTACGGATTAAGGGCACTGAAAAGGTGCGCCTTAGCTTACGAAAAAGGGCATGCAGGCCCTCCAACCTAGCCTCTACCAGGCACCGCGGATCGCTGGAAAAATAGTAGAAATTGGCCTAAATAAGGAGATACTATACCAGGGGAGTTAGCCGGTCAGAGAAGATCCAATTTGCTACCCACGGGGTATACTATCTCTTTATTTTGGCCAATTTCTACTGTTTTCCCGTGATCTACGGTGCCTGGTAGAGGCTTAACTCGTATCTTCTTGCTTACACAGCTCCAGAGCGGTGTTGAAGAGCGCCGCTGCTTTCACGAGAGACTTGGGGTCGTGACGGAGCAGGTACAACTCTCCCAGCCCCGCCACGGCGCAGGTCTGGACTATCGGCAAGCCGCCGCTTCGCTCCTGACAGGGCAAAAACCAGAAATTGGCTTTGCTATGTTAATATATAGGACTTATGTGTCATAACAATGTGAAATGTAATATTCCATCATAACATGTACATCATGTATTGATTGATAAAGTTAAATTAGTTAATACGCTAGTAGAAATAGTATGCTAGTAGAAATAGTTTATAGCTACTAGCATTTACTAGTAAGTGTTATTTGCCATACATTGTATCCGATGCAACTATTGCAAATGAACTTGACTAATGACTATAGTGTTCGTGATGGGGCAAATCATTTCCCCTGGCATGCCATCTCTATTAGCGTAACACTCCTACCGGGCGACCTGTTGGTCCTGGGCAAAGGGAAGCTATTCACCAATTTCACACTGGCCCATAATGCCTTAGTAAAGATCACGGATATGACATTAACCAACCCCCTCCCCTGTCCTTGATGTAATATTTCTAACAAGTTCTATCAACAAACTGGTCAATTATATTGTTGTGAATTATTTATGTAGTATAAAGCGCATGCCATAATTGCATTTTTGTTGGAATTAGAGAAAATTACTTACCTTCTATCGTTCTACCTTCTACCGAAGACTCTCCTACTCGCACGGTGGCATTACGTATATCCCCTTCTTACGTCATATCCCATCCATATCCGTGATCTTTACTAGGCATTATGGCTAAATACCGACCTGTGCCCGACACGCGGCCTTCAGCACGTCGGTGTAGAAGCGCTCCGCCTCCTGCATCCTGTCGACAGGCACCGGCTGGGCCCACTTCTGTTTGAAATCCACCCTCTCCATGGTGCGATCCTAGGGAGAGAAAACATGCAAGAATAGAAATGTAGCATTTCCAAAGCAACTACAAATTGTGTTTACTACAGTAACTGCTTTATTTATTCTCAAACACACTCACATATATGGTGACCATGCAGTCCCTCTTGAACTCAGTTCTACATGTCACTTATGCAACATTTAATATGTAACCCAACACCAGTTGCCACGGTGAAAGACGTCTAGGTCTTGTTTGGAGAAGAAGAAGAGGAAGAAGAAGAAAACCATATGTTTTCCTTCTGCGAAGGTAAACATATATATACACTTTGTATGATAGCGCGATAGACTCATTCTTTTCAGTGATGTATCATGTAAATTCACCCACCTTCCACCAAATCCCCCCACAAATATTTGAATAGTACAAACAGGTGTATATTCCTTTATATAGCCTTCGACAAACCAACTTTTAACTAATCATACAGCAGCCTCCATCCGTGCAGTATAGATAAAAACCGCCAGGCGAACTGTTGATCAATTGACTTCTGTTGGTGACTCATCATAAACGATCAGTCTGTAATAACACTTTGCTAGCGGTTTCCACTAGCCTCTACCAGGCTCCGCGGATCGCTGGAAAAATAGTAGAAATTGGCCGAAATAAAAGGATAGTATACCAGAGAAGATCCAGGGCCATAGAAGCTCCAATTTCCGTGGGATCTTCTCTGGCCGGATCCGCGGTGCCTGGTAGAGGCTAGGTTTCCAGAACACTACTAGTATAACCGTGCGTATCTAGTTCTATGTAGGGTTAGGATCAGGCACAGTTCTGGATAGTCTCCGCGTATCCAAGACCGAAGATTTGCCCCAGGCACGGTTCTGGATACACGTGAACCATCCAGAACCGTTCCTAAGCATAAGTCTGGATGACACACGGTTCTGGAAAATCTGCACAAGGAAAACTTAACACCTGCCGACTTATCCAACTCCAAAGTGTTTTCGATCACCTACAAGGCTATGGGACGGTATATATGCTCCTGAAATAATTATGAGAGACCTGAAGAACGTAATTAACCTGTGATGAAGCGATTACGGAAGAAACAAATGCGAAAGCGGTCGTCGGTCCGTACGTTCCGTCCCAAAATGATTTGCGGAAGTGTTTTTTGTCGCGATGGTTTCGTTACGTCACGGGGACTTTGGGGTCGGGGGACCCCCTCGCGGTGCATGACGGGATTACATCACTCGAAACGTGACGCCCGCCCTTCTCAACCTACCTGAGGTCTCTTTTACTAGCCTCTACCAGGCTTCAGAAGCGGCTGGAAAGAGTAGAAATTGGTCAAAAACTCATGTCAGGGGAGTTGCTCTGCCATTTTATATCTATACATTTATATGTACAGTTATATACAGTTCGGATAGGATCGGATCGGATCGGAAGCGTCAAACTGTACTGCTTTTTAGCGGACTGGCGGCATGTTATCTGTCTATTTGGCCTATTTCTACTCCTCCCGAAGCCTGGTAGAGGCTATAGATTTTCTGCTAGAGAACAATAGGTGCTCTGTACGCCACAACATGCATGTTCTATATACTGGAAGTTAGGTTCCCTCTACTAGGTTTCAGAGGAGGCTGAAAAGAGTAGAAATTGGCCTTTTAATGAATGAATGAATGAATGAAGACCTTTATTGTACATTTTGCCCCACTGGGTGGAAAGACAGGTCACATATTGACAAAGTACATCATCAATGTCGATAATAAAACGGCTATCATGAGTACACAAGTCCTTTCAACTTCCTCTCGCTTTCTGGTAATCTTATAAATGTAGTTGGCTGTATGAGTAGTTAGAGCTGGTTTGTTAAAGACTACAAGGAATATAAATTTCTCTATACTATTCAAATACTTAAATTGGGAATATTTGCTTGACACAAAATCGAAAAGAACGTTTCTTTCGCTGTCATACATGGAACAATCCACAAATAATTAATTAGACAGATAACATGCCAGTCATTGGCCAATTTCTATCTACTCTTCGCCTGAAGTATAGTAGAGGCTAGAAGCGGACTAAATATCAAACAATGCTGCCTCCATGAAGATGTCCATTATGTTATTGATCCATCACACGCGACTCCATGTTCTTGATTTTGGAAGTTATGTAGCCTCTACAAGGCTTTAGAGGAGGCTGGAGGAAAGAACAGATAGCATGTCTACTTTTCCAACCGCTTCTGAAGCCTGGTAAGAGGCTAGGAAAGCCCAGTAGAGGCTAGAAATTAGATAGGACTAAAGATCATACTCTCCAAGCAGAGGTTTGGGTTTGGGGGTATTTTTAGTGTGTTTTTAGGCTTTTTTATTGGGGTTTCTCTTTTGCACTGAATTTTTTTTTCCACCAAACCCAACCTCTGCCGTCAGTCGAAAGCTTCAATGCGCTATAAACCTAATCACTTTGACACATTACGGTCGTTTTACACGAAGGTGCGAAGTTGGGTTTGGTGGGAAAAAAAATTCAGTGCAAAAGCCTAAAAACACACTAAAAATACCCCCAAAACCCAAACCTCTGCTTGGAGAGTATAAAGATCAACCGAAGCTGCCTTCATGAAGATCGATGACCCTACACGCTACATTATGTTCTTGATTCTGGACGTTATGTAGCCTCTAACAGGCTTCAGAGGAGGCTGGAAAGAGTAGATATAGACAGATAACATGTGTACCCTATGCCGCTTCTGAAGCCTGGTAAGAGGCTAGAAAAGCCCGGTAGAGGCTAGAAATTAGATAGGACTATTAAAAGATCAACCGAAGCTGTCTCCGTGAAGATCGATGACCCTACACGTTCTTGATTCTGGAAGTTAGGTAGCCTCTAACAGGCTTCAGAGGTGGATGGAAAAAGTAGAAATAGCCAGAAAACATGTCTACATGTCTACATATGTTTTGTAGCCGCCTCTGAAGCCTGGTAGAGGGTTGGGAGCGGAGTAAAGATCAACCGAAGCTGTCTCCGTGAAGATGTCCGTTGATCCATCACCCTAAGCAGGCCTTGACCCGAGCCTGACACGTGCTACTGCACTGCTTATTATCGGCCCAGGACGGATTAAAAGTTAAACACAACAGTCAGTCCGATCGTCTAGCCTCTATTGCAGGCGTTCCGGGAGCGGTCGTTTATTATTAGTTTTTTTGGGGGGGGGGCGGGCGCTTATTTTCTGATCAAACGTAGATCGCACGCTTTTGAAGCTCCAGCCGCCAACCCTAGTATGCCATTCATGGCAGCCGGAGCTTCTAATGTGTGCGATCTACGTTTAAAACATACAGCAGAAAATAAGAGCCTGCTCCCGGAACGCCTGTATTCAACGTTCTCCACAGGCGGCCAATGGATACAGGAGGCCAATATAAATTCCCCTTGCCCCACCGAATCTGCTTGGAGATTAGGAACGCCTAGCCTCTACCAGGCACCGCGGATCGTTGGAAAAATAGTAGAAATTGGCCGAAACGAAATAAAGGATAGTATACCAGGGAGTTAGCCGGCCAGATAGGATCCAATTTGCGATCCGTGGGTAACTAACTCCCTGGCATACTATCCTTTATTTCGGCCAATTTCTACTATTTTTTCAGCAATCCGCGGTGCCTGGTAGAGGCTTAAGGAACGCCTGCGAACGAGGCTATCGGTCGTCAGCGCGCGGCTGCTTCTCGTTACGGGAGGGGTCTGCCGAGATCGCTCAGCTGTCACCCGGCACAGCGTCATCAGGAGGCCCCCGCTGTGAGCCACAACGGAGGGTCTGCAGGGGGGGACCCTGGAAAAGCATCATCTATTCTCCAAGCAGATGAATGTCGGCAAAAGCGTTACGGGTTACGTAGACCTGGCCATCTAGAGAGACTCCTCAACCACTCGGGTGACAAACGGATACTGCCTGGCCAATTTGAAACTGTCTCTTCGGCCAGCGGAAGATCTGCTTGGAAATTATTCATCATAGTGTCTCTCTGTTGTTATACATTGTTTATGAAGCAGACCAGATTCCTATTACAGTTATATATAATTAGTAGACCTGTTAGATTTTCTCAACACCACCACACCACAAACTATGTATGTATCATTTTGCCATACGTTGTACCTGCTACATCTGTTGCGCAATAAAGTTCTTCTTCTTCTTCTAAAAACACTTCCAGCAACACGCAGACATGCAGGCTCAGGTCACAAGACCTTGAGAGAACGTGGGCACGAACGTTAACCTGAACTATTTATATTAAGTGAAACCCAGCACATAATAGAACCCACGTCTATATCGAGACACCGACAGCAACATCAACATTTAGGAGGGCCGACAACGCTTAGCGGTAAATTCAGGCAGGTTAAGTTGTTTTCATGTAAGGCCCAGCCTTCGAAAACCACTTCATTTGAATGCTCTTTTGCATTTAATATGGTTTATAGCAAGTCTGCGGGTCTTGCACGTTCCGGTATGATTTTGGGGAAGTCTGCCGTTCGACTTCGCGATTCGAAGACTTTTCACTGACGCATTTATTTATAAAGAACGGTGAATTCTGATTTTCAGGGTAACAAATAAAGCGACCAAGTACGATTAACGAAGTATTTTCCAACAACGCCGCGTAACGTTGATCAAAGCGGCCGCACCAGCTACTGTCAAAAACTAGAGTTCCCTGATCTCATACCTTCGCCAAATGATGTTAATCTTTATGACTGACAAAGTTTAGATTAGATTATTCCCCCCTGATTTAAGAAATAGGAACCTAATTTTCATGAATTATATCATTTTATCATAATCTCAACCAAAAGACAGTCTTATATTAACAAAGAATGCATTCTAGCATTTCCTAATAAATTATGCAAATGAGGTGCTGATTTAAATAAATTATGTTTAATGATGTTCACCTCAATTTAACTTTCAAATACCACAAGTATGAAATTCCAGGCAGTTATCATTACATAATTATAAAACTTTATCATTAATTATGCAAATTAAGTCATTATTAACATAATCAACAACTTCCTGTGTTTCTCTCGTTGTCAATTACCAATGTCACAAGCTTCAATTGTCCTATCATGGAATGCAGCTGATTTATACAATTTCCCCATAAATTATGCAAATTACATCCATATTTGCATAATTATCACATAATTATATTAAGCATCACGTAAGCTACCTACATACCAAAAATCACGACGATCCGTCAACTGGTTCTTGAGTTATCCCCTTTTTAATATTTTCAAGAATTTATCCCTGCAGTTCCAGAGCAAGCCGTTAGGGGGCCTAAACTCACGTCACTTCTTCCCCAGCACAAGAGCTACCTACCATCTAAATTTCATCACCATAGCATGTCTAGATCATGAGATATCAAAACCGGAAGTTCAGCTGCAGTACCATGACAAGCCGCTAGGGGGTCCGAAATCTAATCATTTTGAGGTCTCATCAAGACCTACCCACCTACCAAGTATGAAGACAATCCATCAAGGCCTTCTCAAGTTATCGTGTTTACAGACAGACAGACACACACACACACACATACACGAACGCCCCTGAAAACATAACCTTCTTGGCGAAGGTAAAAATGGCTCGCTAACACCTCCCGGAAAAGGGCCATACAGACCCTCGCAGCTCCGTGGGAGTCAGACTCAGAGAGCGGCGAGCAACAAGCGGGACGAACTTGTGCTGTTCTCACGACCTGCAACTGTGAGTAAGAGAAACTTTGATTAATGTATGGAGTAACTTATAGTCTTACCGAGTAGATGTTGGAAAGAATCTTTTATTCAGTCGATCATTTTACACAGAAGACTGATCGCTTCTGTCTGTACATGTGTGATCACGGTGTCTTCCGAGATGTAAATAAGTCGTAATTTTCCACTATCAAAGCTGCGAACTGGCATCTGCGACAGAACACTGTCTGCATGTAGGCAGTCTTGACGTTGTTGTTGTTTGCGCGTCAAGGGAACGATTTGCAGAAATGTGACGTGTTGTGCATAAGATATCCGATGCTCTCTACCTGCCTTCCGTTCAGAAGCGGTCACCAATTGGCAAAAGACATATCATAATATTATAGAGAGGCAAACTGTACTCCTCTGGGTTATTTTCTGTCTATTTGGCCAATTTCTACTCTTTCCAGCCGCTTATGAAGCCTGATAGAGGCTACGTAATCTTTGTATGAAGACATCCCTGTAAGAAGACTCCCTGTGTGTGCTTGTAATTATTATGTATCACGCAAGTGACAAGATGACAACAAGTAAGATCATACAAGATAAAGGGAGCCAGAGATGCCCCAGAGATGACAATCTCAGTCAGTGAAATTAATGTTTATGTGCGCTTTTGTCCCACATGATTTTGATCCAAATGTTTCTCGTCCTTTGATAACATTGAAACGTTTGTTTTTTTTCTTCTTTTAAATCTCCTTTACATGTCTTTCTCTGTTAGATGACGTTTTATGCATAGTTTTATGTGTATTTTCTTTTCTGAGTGCAGATGGATCTTTTCCTTGGCCTTCTTCTTTTTAAAAGTCCTAATTTCGATGAAAATACACACGTTAGAAAGCAACTGTGACGCGTGAACTGTACGTTGTATACCATTAGCCTCCATAACATGCCAAAAACTGGGGTTTTGGGGGTCTTCAGGGCCTTTGGGAGCTTTTATGTGCTATTTTCCGATTGCATATAGACAACATAGCCGACCTGGTTGAATTGCCCCCGTTTTTCAGAAGACCACAAAAAAAACACCCAGTTTTATAAGCCTGCTACGGAGGCTAGTACAAATGTATATCATGACGTTTGGTGTTGATAGTGTTGATGTTCGTCAGACGTCTGGACCACCCAGCGCCACAGTTAGTGCTTTCATCCACCTCAAACGGTTATCAGCCATCTGGGGCGAGCTTGCAAACTTCGGCTTACACTACAGGACCTACAGCTTACACCCAGGCATGGTTTTACGTTTTCAACACACTTTTGAGTCCCGGCTTAGACACTGCTGGTATCTCTTAGCCTCCACCAGGCCTTCGAAAAGAGTAAGGAAGCGTTAGAAGCATCCGATGCAATTTCAGGGAACTGGAAATATTACGAATATAGCAATCTGTATGATATTGACACATACTGTGCCACATTAGCACATTTGAATCAGTATTTGATATATACTTTATTCATTTAAAACTACAGAAACAAGCCAGAAGATTAGTGCTTTATTTTCTGGGGTTGATCCCTAAAAATCAATCCAGGTCCTTCCAGTAACCGTTTCGTCAGAATTTTTGACATTTTTCTCCATGAAAAACTTACAAGTACACGAAAAGCTGGTCTAAATATCATGCCCCCGGCATGATATCTGTCTACTTTTGCCAATTTCTACTCTTTTCACCGCTTTTGAAGCCTGATAGAGGCTACACATGCCGTCGCCTGGCTTAGTCAGTGACACTTGTAGTAAACATTGTTTTATCGGTGTCCGATTTTTTGGCTCTGAATCATACAGTAGCACCGAAACGGAAACACTGCAACCAAACAAGATGGAACGGTTGTTTATTTGAGAGTTATCATCGATCAAACGTGGACACCTCATGGTCCTAGTCTCCATCAGACTCCTTTGCGGGCTGATAAATAGTGGAAATCAGCCTTTAAAAATAATATTAGCTTAGTCTCTACCAGATTAACTACGCTGGCTGTATATAGGAGAATACTAGTATTTGCCAGGGAGTTTGGCCGCCTTGTAGGTTTGACAGGCCGCGCAGGAGGGAAAGAAACTGCCTCCCCGCGACCGGACTCCCTTGGCCAATTTTACTCTCTTTTTTGCCGAATTCTACGATCCATATTCTCGTAGAAAGGCCTGGTGGAGGCTAAATGTAGCTGGCCAGGGGACTTGGCCGGCCATAGAGGGTCCAGTTTGTATGCAGTTCCCCTGGCCACCACCATTCGTTTTAGGCTGATATCTACTATTTATTCAGCCTGCGAAGGAGTCTGGTGGAGACTATGATGGTGCCTGGCCGCACAGCTGACTCTCACGGTTCCCAGCAGGAGACATCAAAGCTTGTTATCGCGTCTCCGTCCCGTAATGCGGGGGAATTGGGGAGCTTCTGCGCGGTCACTAATGCAGAGCGGATGACAGTCGAGTCCAATCTGAAAAGACAACTCTATGTAACCATCCATGACAGAGATAGCCTTGGTGCCAGACTGTTCTCGGTGCTAACTTGAAAAGACAACTCTATATGAAACCATCCATGACAGATAGCCTGGGTGCCAGACTGTTCTTCTCGGGGCTAGTAAACTAGTAGCCTGGATGCCCATAGTACGCTAGGCCCAGAGTTGCTGGCCCTTGAGCAGAGGAGCTAGCGTGTATACTTGCCCTGGCAATCAGTCTGCTACACCCAGGCTACTCAGCCTACTGTTCTAGGTGTTGAAAATAGTAATGAAAATTTCTGCTTAGTACACGAAATTGTACCTGTCAGACTACATGTATCTGAAGCTGGTATGTAAACTAAAAGCACGGGAGCAAAACTGAAACTTCACGCTCTGTCAGCCACTACAACAAGGCTTCAGAAATGACTGGAAAGACTAGAAATTGGCCAAATAAATAGATAGATGCAATTAACATGGCAGGGGAGTTGGTCTGCTAATGGAGGTTGGTCTGCTAATGGAGTATATTTGCAGACCAACTCCCCTGCCCTGCCATGTTATGTGTCTTCTGAAGCCTGGTAGTGGCTACAGAATTTTGTTTGTCTCAGAAAACATTCCATGAGTAATTCTCCTCCGACAGTCACTGCTCGCTTCTGTTTTCCCCCTAAATCAGGCGGAAGCTTCTTCAGGTCAACTTCTGCTGATTATTTCAGAATAAACGCCTCATCCTTGACCTAAAGGCAATCCTAGGATGTCCGTATGTAAACAGCCTCAGTCATAACTTTGCTATCTGATTTTAAAGTCACCCAATGCAATTTCAGGCGGCAAAACTGGCCTTTTAAAGTCAATTTTTGGTCATTCTTTTAAGGTAGTAAGTTGAGTCGATCTCATAGCATACTGATTTCTGTGCTGATTATTTTATCCTTGACCCAAAGGCAATCCTGGGATGTCCGTATGTAAACAGCCTCTGTCCGCTGGTATGCGCGCCCTACATCAGGCTTATGGGGAATCAGGGGGATGAGCTGACCGGGGCCACCTGCTTCACGTGAGGACGAAAACATTCAGGAGCTGAGATCTGGGACTGTAAGGTACTCTCCAAGCAGAGGTTTTGGCTTTGGCTTATTTTTGGCGTGTTTGGGGGCTTTTTTTTTATCGGGCTTCCTTTTTTGTACTGGTATCCTTTTGTTGGGTTGGCACATAAAAAGGTACTAGTAAAAAAATGAAACCCCGATAAAAAGCCTATAAACACGCCAAAAATAAGCCAAAGCTGACACCTCTGCTTGGAGAGTAGCTGTAAGGCCCGCTTTAGACTGCTGACGATACAATACCGTTGCCTGACGATTCGCTACCGGTGACGGTTGTCTTTAGACGCCCTAGATCACCCTAGTCTAGCCTTCACAACTGATTTTGATTTGTTCATTTCAGGTTGAGCCAAGATACCTGTCGGTAGCCGACTATGTTGTGTTGGTAGGGCTGGTGGCCGTATGAATGTGTCAACAGAGCAGTTATCGTAGTTTGACCCGGCCGAGGGGTCTAGATCTTTTAGCCGAATCGGTAGGAGCGTCGAGTTAGAAGCTGGGTGCCCGGGTTTGGCGTGGGTTCGATCCCCGGCCCGGGACCAGGAGTGTCTTTCTGATTCTTCTCTCCTAATTCTTACAGTGGTGTTACACGTCCATTTCAGGTTGCCCCAAGATGCCTGCCGGCGGCCACGTTGTCCGATACCTGTCCGTGGCCGACTATGTGGTGTTCTCCGTGCTCCTTGCCGTGTCCGCAGCCATCGGACTGTACTACGCGTGCACCGGGGGGAGGCAGCGTACCCAGCGCGAGTTCCTCATGGCGGACCGCTCCATGTCCGTCCTGCCAGTCACCATGTCCCTGCTCGCCTCATTCAGGTTTGTTTGTTTGTTTGTTTGTTTGTTTAGGATCTCCATTACTGTGATTTTTACACTACTCTTCCTGGAGTCCGTAGTGAATAATCAGATGAGTATTGGGACCATCGCACACCGGGGCATGCTCCTACTCTTTTTCGAAAGGTGTGGTGGGTTCTTTAACGTGCGTGGCTCTACCAAACACGGGACCTCCATTTAACGTCCTATCCGAGGGACGTCCCTAACCGAAGCTAGGTACTCCAAGCAGATCTTTTGGTGGCTACAAGACCGTATCAACCTGGCAAGACAGCGGTTGGCAGGGCAATAGTTTGGCTAGCGAAAAAAAGGATGCCGGTAAGAAAAAAAAAGATAAAACACATAAAAGACTTTAAAAAATAAGCTGAAGTCCAGATAACATGCCAGGGGTGTCTGTCCGCTTAAAGAGCACAGTTTGCCGAGCCAATTTCTACTCTGTATAGTCGCCTCTGAAGCCTGGTAGAGGGTGCCATTGAAGGCTACGTTTGCCCGTACTACTTTGTGGTGTATTGCGCAATAAACTTTGAAAGTAATAAAGTCAAACCTGCCCAGGCGACCACTTCTTATAGCTAACCACCTGGTCATGGTGACGGTTGACCCCATGGACACAGGCATAAAACGACCTGCCAATGGCGACCACCTGTCTTCCGTTACTAGTACCTAGTAGGTGGTCGCCTTGGGCAGGCATGACTGTACTATCTCCGCCCCTCACAGCTCTGCCATCACGGTTCTGGGCACCACGGCTGAGATCTACACGTACATGAGACTCTCTACCCAGCCTACAATTAAGAATTGTGCTCGTACTACTTTGCTAATTTGTGCTTTGGTACGTGTTCCGCGCCCCTCACAGCTCTGCCATCACGGTTCTGGGCACGACGGCTGAGATCTACACGAACGGCACGATGTACTGGAACAACCTGGTGTCGTCCGTCCTCTCCATGGTGGTCTGCTCCCGCCTCTTCCTGCCCGTCTTCTTCGACCTGGGCATGACCAGCACGTACGAGGTGGGTATGTAGGCGCGCTGTAGCCTCTACCAGGCTTTGTGAAAGGCTGGAAAGAGTATAGTCTGTGTAACGCAAACTCTGCCGTCCGCGGCTTTAATGGCCCCTCCTCGCAGGGGGCGGCTGGATGTTGGGCGGCCGGCAACAGTCAAGCGATTTAATCAGGCTAAAAAGAGTAGAAATTGGCCTAATAGATACGAAATAACATGCCTGGGGAGTACAGTTTGGCGCTTCTTTGGCGGACCAATTCCCCTAGCTGGTTTATTTGGTCGATCTAAATTTAGGTCAACAAAATCAAAATCTTTACTTTTACAGTTAGCATAATTATTGATGATCTCGTTATACAGCACATGATACTAACCTTTCGTTTTCCTGTTATTTCTACAGTACCTGGAGAAAAGGTTCTCTAAGAGTGTTCGGCGTCTCTGTTCCTTTGCATTCATGATCAACATGGTAAGAAAATCGCGACGACGATGTATTTCTCTACATTTGTTCTTGTTATATGCCACAGTAGTGACTTTCTGTACCATCCTGTTTTGCACAGTTTAAGTGATAGCGTTTTTTAAAGTCACTGGCAGAGAGAGAGAGAGAGAGAGAGAGAAAGAGCGAGAGAGAGACTTAAGATATTCTACCAGCTATTTACACAAAACCTGTATAAGCAGTTTCTTCAAGGCGTGTTTTTCTCCACACAGGTGATCTACATGGGACTGGGTCTGTACGCCCCTGCTCTGGCCCTCAGTGTTGGTACGTCTGCTTGGCTTCGTCATATATTCTTAGTCTCCACCTCGCCTGGATGCCAGACCCATAGCACACTACGCTGGCAAAGTATTTGCAGGGCACACTGGATAACTTTGGGCCTAGTGTGTGCTATGGGTCGACGTCTGACATCCAGGCTATCTCCACAAGACTAACCATTGTGGTTAACAAATTTAGCTAAATACTGAGAATAATAGGAGAAGTTTATTGCAAATACACGTACATGCCCTAGGGCTGTGACAATATGTATGAAAAAAGAAAATTCAATGATATAAGAGACTATGTCTAACATTAGACCACATTCTACAACATACATGGTACTAGTTTTCCCGGGGAGTTTAGCCGCCGTAGAGTTCATTTCCCCGGCCCGCGCGAGGGGGAAATGAATCCTGTATTTGCCGAATTCTGTCATCCTAAACCCCTTTAGCAAGGTCATGTGGAGGATAATACGTATCTTAAGTTTTAAGTTTTTTTTAACCCTATTTCCTGTTGTTTCTGGTTCGGACGATAACACTGTGCCACGTAGATTAGTAATGTTTCAAAACAAGTTAATGTTGGATTCGATATATGTTTTTCTGCGATTCAGTTACTTTGTGGTTCAAATGACGGTACTGTAACAGTGTTTGCGCATTTAGAATAGACTTGTGACGTTTCAAAACAAGTTAATGTTGGCTGACATGGACGATGCAGTTACCTGTTTTTGGCATTTAGAATACGATTTACACCAAAGTCTGGCTTTTGGTAGCAACCAATTTAAAAACATCCCTGACTTTCCGCCTTTTGTATATATATATACTCCAACCATTTCATGTTTGTTTCAGTTACAGGGATGTCGCTGTGGGGCTCTATTCTGTCCATGGGAATCGTCTGTACCTTTTACACCACAATCGTGAGTCTCCACTATCTACTGTGCATTATGAAACGGGCTAAATAGAATTTTTATCTAGCAAATATATCATACGTCTGTAGTGTATTGTCGACTTCACATATATCCGTAGTCATAGTACTAGACCGTGAGTAGAAAAGGTTCCGCAACGGTAGAATGTCCAACTGTTGGTTCCGAGTTCGAACCCTGCTATGTCACCGATCTTGTACCCTTGGGAAATGCACTTTACACTATTTTCCTCACTTCGCCCAGGTGGAAATGCGTACAGTATTGTCCTCTGTGTTGGTGGCGGTATGAAATAAAACAAATTGAAAAAACTTAAGTGTGCCGTCATCACGTCTTGTGATTACATGTTTGGAATAAAAAAAACAGTGACGCGATGAAAACTTCACCTGTACCCGGGCCTGCCGCCATCTTGTTTGTTCCTTCCCTCAGGGCGGGATGAAGGCGGTGATGTGGACCGACACGTTCCAGGTGGTTGTCATGGTGACGGGTTTCCTGGCCGTCATCATTCAGGGCTCCATCGAGGCCGGCGGGCTGGGGAAGGTCTGGGACATCGCCAACAGCGGGCACAGGCTCGAGATATTCAAGTAAAGCTTTTTACCTTCAAGAAGGTTATGTTTTCGGCGGCGTCCGTGTGTGTCTGTGTGTCTATAAACACGATAACTCGAGAAGGCGTAGATGGATTGTCTTGATATTTGGTAGGTGGGTAGGTATTGAGGAGATCTACTAACCCAAAAGTCTCAAAATGGTTAGATTTTGCCCCCACCTTTAGAGGCTTGTTATGATACTGCAGCCGGTTTTGATATCTCATGATCTAGACATGCAACGTTACGAAATATTTTTTACGAGTGGCAAATGGTAAGTGTCTGGCCAATTTGCCTGGCTTCCCTTTTTTTTAATCGGATACTGCCCTGCCAATGACTGACTCTTGCCAGTTTGCTTCTGTCTTGCAGCCACAAAAAGATCTGCTTAGAAATCAAGTAAAGCCCCTGTCACACATCCAGAACCATCACACTGCCACCAACCACCTAAGTTTGGCAACGTAGGCTTGCGGTCTTAGGGTTGTTGGCATAGAATGTTGTGTCGTTGAGAAAGGCACTTTACACCTATTTCCTCACTCGACTCTGGTGAAAAGTACCTAGCTCCTAGCTCCGGTTAGGGATGTCCTCTCCGACGGGACGTAAAGCGGAGCCATACCTTGAGCATGTTAAAGATCCCACCACACTTATAGATGATTTCCTGTATTTATTTACTTATATATTATATTAAGTTATAATTTATGTTATATCTGATTCTGACTCTCTGTACCTTTTGAGTTGTTATGATTTTATAATTGTCGGTGTCTTATAAGCCCATATGGGCTGGGCGACTATGGTCGTAATGACACGTTAATAAAAACATTCATTCATTCATATAGAAGAGCAGGGGTGAGTGCGAGTGGTTCAAACCTTACAGCCCGGTCTCAGGGTTGACATCTTGAAGAGGTGATAGTGATAGGCTGGAGATATTGAAGTAGCGAACTTGACAATGTTAACACTGTGCGGACGTGCAGGCGTGTTGAGGAGCGTCAACACGCTGAAATGGCCCATATCAGATTTCTCCAAGAAAGCCAGGATAAGCTACAGAATCTTCTGTTGTGTCTTTAAGTTTTCAGACTCAAGTGTTTCTGGCAATCTTCCTCAGCCTGCTTTTCCATAGTCTCCAACCAGATCTTTTGGTAGCTACAAGACAGTATCAAATTGGCAAGACAGTAAAAATTGGCCGACCAGTATCCGATACGCGAACCGAAGGCGAAAAAAAGATACCGGCACAAAAAGGTAGCCCGATAAAAACGCCTGAAAATACGTAAAAATAAACCGAAGCCTATACTCTGATTGGGAACGTCAACACACAGAAATAACATTAGCCTATATCAGATTTCCTAACGAAAGCCAGGATAAGCTACAAAACCCAACTGTATACATACCCTCTGTTATTCTTCTTTCTAAGTTTCACATAACTGTTTCTGGCAATCTACTTCAACTAAAGCTTAAAGCTCTACAGAAGCGGCCCATCTTGAAATGATATTTTCACGCCAGAAGTTTTGTTTTTCATACCTTGGCGGGTACCCAACTTCCAGGGCCCGACAAACCCTCAAGGATCAGACTTGCAGAACACACCTCCTCTGTCTGTTGTCACTCGCGCGCTCTTGAAAGTCTATTGGTTGTAAGGACTGGGTGTACCTCTTTAAACGAACCCACATGAGAAATGCTGATAGCCATGACGCAAGCAGGCTAGTGTTGTCACGAGACAGATGATATTATTTATTAGCTATAATGACGCTACTGGTATGGATCAGACATGAACCGGTGGGATTCTTCTATGTTGTTTTGCTGCACTATCGGGCAGTCAGATACAAAAACATTGACAGTTCGCCAGTTTGCAAGACTTACAAATTACTTTCAGGCTCTTACAGTTACAGCACTCTCCTCCCTTAAACGCCCCTTTTCGCTCCATGATCTGTACCTGACCGGATCCGGATCGAGCACATCATGGCGAACCATCGTTCTATGTCGAACACATCCGTCAAAATCAGAGCGGCAAGGATTTTGACGGAGGTGTTCGAAATAGAACAAGGGTTCGATCCACGGTTCGATGTGTTCGATCCATCCTGATCTGTCTATTTTTTCCGTTCCACAGTTTTGACCCGGACCCCCGGGTGCGCCACACGAACTGGAACATCTGGGTAGGGGGCGTTTTTGTGTCGGCGTCCATATACGGCGTGAACCAGGCCCAGGTTCAGCGGTACCTCAGCTGCCCGTCACTGGCAAAGGCGCGAACGTGAGTATTTATATACGTTTACCTTCGCGGAAGGACAACGTATTGTTTTTTGGTCGGTTTCTTCTTCTCTCGTTCCAAACAAATAAGGTCTAGAAGTCACTACAGCAGGGGGCTAGTCTACTGGTAGTGCTGTGTGTTTAACTCCCATACTCTTTCTCAAATGCTGAATGCTAAGAAAAGAGAAAGCCGTATGTACTATTTTAACAGTTCAAACAAATTTGTAATGTAAAAAAAAAAAAAATCTAAATGACATCTTCTCCCCTAGAGCACTGTACCTGAACATCGTGGGTATCGCCGTGATCACGTCGTGTGCATGCCTGTCCGGACTGGTGATCTATGCGCGTTACCACGGCTGCGACCCGCTCCTGGCGGGGGCCATCACCAGCAGGGACCAGGTAAGGTATTTTACCGTAGAGGCCTAGCGCCACTCTTGCCATTGTACCATTCTTGTATGTCTGAGAACAAGCCCAACATAAAGAATCATCTACGATTCTTGAGCTTATGTCTGAGATATGCATTACACTAGCTATAGTAGCCAACGAAAAAGCGTGTAGCCTTGGGTGCGGCAAAATGTCCTCTCTAGCTGACCAACTCTTCTGGCATGTTATCTCTCTATAGGGACCAGGTGAGACATGTGGACCAACCAAACTAATCTCCAAGCAAATCCTAGGGTGGCTAAAGACAGATCCTTGGGTGGCGTATTGGGTCCTCTCTGGCCACCTTAGAATCTGCTTGGAGATTACACCCAAACTACTGTCAGGCTTGCTTAACTTGGATACAGTAAAGCCCTGAGTACATACATGTAACTGTTAACTGAAAACCTGCAGGCATAGGAGAACTGTAACGTACATGGCAAGGACAATTTTACCTTAGAGGCGCTAGCTAGCACCACTCTTGATATTTTTAATACCATTCTTGTAGTTAAGTGTCTGAGAACAAACCCAATATAAAGAATCATCTTAGATTCGTGAGCTTATGTCCGTCAACCTTTGTTCACGGAATGGACCCGTCTACTCTTGGAGCGTGACGTCAGTGACACGTGACCGAAGCAGCAGGCCAGATAACTTGTGTCGACCCCCGTCTCTGTTCGGGGTAAAATGCGGGAAAATTCTCGATCCTGAACCAGACTTCTTTGCTAGAGGAGTGAAGGAGACGGCCTACCCTGAACAGAGACGGGGGGCGGCACAAGTTATCTTTGTCCTTTGAACTTCTCCAGATCCTTCCGTACTTCGTGATGGACATCCTGAGTTTCCTACCGGGCATGCTTAATTCTAATTCGTGCAACATATTCATGAACCTACACAGTGTATGTGCTCCTGTTGCATTTCTGGAATAATACTATACTTCATTCCTCGAATCTCTCCTCACTCTTTCTCCAGATCCTCCCGTACTTCGTGATGGACATCCTGAGTTTCCTGCCGGGCATGCCTGGGCTGTTCGTGGCGTGCGTGGCCAGCGGGGCGCTCAGCACCCTGTCCTCGGGACTCAACTCGCTGGCAGCCGTCACGCTGGAGGACTTCGTCAAGCCCTGGCTGCCCAAACTCAGCGACATCAAGTACACTACCATCTCCAAGGCGCTCGGTAGGTTATAGGGGCTTCTTCACTCACTGGTTAGAGGCATTAACTTAAGATTAGGCTAGATTGGTTTTTCGTAGCGAAAATCGTCATTGTAAGCCCTGGCTCCCCAAACTGAGCGACATCAAGTACACAACCATCTCCAAGGCGCTCGGTAGGTTATAGGGGCTTCTTCACTCACTGGTTAGAGGCATTAACTTAAGATAAGGCCTAGATGGGTTTGTCAGCGTTCGTAGAGAAAATCGTCATTGTAAGCCCTGGCTCCCCAAACTGAGCGACATCAAGTACACAACCATCTCCAAGGCCCTCGGTAGGTTATAGGGGCTTCTTCACTCACAGGTTGGAGGCATTAACTGTTCTAAGATAAGGCTAGATTGGTCTTTCAGCATTCGTAGCGAACATTGCAAGCCCTGGCAACCGAAACTCAGTGACATCAAGGTAGGTTATAGGGGTTTCTCACAATGATACTGATATGAAGTGGAAAATGAATAAGAGTAGGTGATGGTTGATGATAACATGGCCATGTGAAGATAAACATGAAGGTATGTATTTGCTTGACAAATTCTAGTTGTCAATGGCAATGCCATACTTTATAATGCCTATTCCGCAGTGCTGCTGCATGGAGTTCTGATGGTTCTGGTGGCGAGTTTCGCGTCTCTGCTCGGCCCGCTGGCCAAGGCCGCCATCAGTGTGGACTAACCATCATCGTACGCGCGTTTTAACCATCAGCGGGTTCTAACCATCAGCGTGTTCTAACCATCAGCGTGTTCTAACCATCAGCGCGTTCTAACCATCAGCGCGTTCTAACCATCAGCGTGTTGTAACACGTTTATGATGCCTATCCCGCAGTGCTACTTCACGGTGTTCTGATGGTTCTGGTGGCGAGTTTCGCGTCTCTGCTCGGCCCGCTGGCCCAGGCCGCTATCAGCGTGTTCGGCATGATCAGCGGCCCGATCCTCGGCATCTTCATCCTCGGCATGATGTTCCCCTGCGCAAACTCCACGGTACGTTTGTTTGTTGTTTAAGGAACCTTCAATTAGTGACAATACAGCCACTACTCTTCCTGGAGTCCTCTTACATCCTTTGTCAAAGACAAACATTATAACTATCTACATGGACTTTGAAAAACTAACTACTTAAAAAACCTTGTCTTAACATTTGCCATCTAATAGGTAGGTGGCTAGTTGTATCCAGAACCAATCCTCTGGCGTCGTGTTCTGGATAGTCCACGCGTATCCAGACCCGTGTCTGGAGCAAATCTATGTTCTTGAATACGCGGAGACTATCCAGAACCGTGCCTGATCCTAATATCAAGCCCTAACCCTATCCTAGCATACTCGGCATGATGTTCCCCTGCGCCAATTAAGTCCACGGTAGGAGTCAGTCGGCACACAGATAGGTAAAGGGTATAGTGGCCTCTACCAGGATTCAGAAGCGGCTGGAAAGAGTAGAAATTGGACGAATAGACAGATAACATGTCAGGGGAGTTGGTCCGCTAAAGGAATACAGTTGTTGGGAACACCCACAATGAGATATGACAACTAAATTAGCTCAGAATGAGTACATGATGTCAACGTGTAAGATGTGCCGTCCCATCCGTACAGGGTGGGTTGGTGGGCCTCCTGCCCAGCTTAGTGCTCACCCTGTGGATCGTCAGTACTCTACTATATATCCGTACTTTATACTGTATACTGTATATTCACTGTATATGAATGTACTCTACTGTATAACTCCTCCGTACAGGGTGGGTTGGTGGGCCTCCTGTCCAGCTTAGTGCTCACCCTGTGGATCGGCATCGGCAGTATCGTCTGGCCCAGACGGAGGTGGCTGCCGCCCGTCTCCACACACCAGTGCCCGGTAAACTTCACCGCGACGACAGAGAACGCCACCGGGACTGCGCTTCACAGCGTTGTCATGGATACGGCGGCAAACGTGACGACGCAGACGACACTCCTCAGCAGCACGCTTGGCGGGAATCTGACGTCAGAAAGTAGCGGTTTAAACTAGTAAGCCACATGTCTCATGTTGCCTGTTTTAGGTTAATATGGATGGATTGTCATGAAACCTGGTAGTGAGGTAGGACTTGATGAGACCTCGACATGATTAGATTTTCGTGGTTGCCAGGGTCCTGCAGCGGAACTGTCAGTTTTGTTTATTTCTGCCGCAGCCCCCCTGAAGCTGCCCTGTACCAGCTGTCCTACGCCTGGCTGGCGGCGGTGGCTGTACTGAGCTGCGTCATCATCGGGCTGGCCGTCAGCTTCCTCACAGGTACGTCGTCGTGACGTCAGCTTCCTCACAGGTACGTCATCGTGACGTCAGCTTCCTCACAGGTACGTCGTCGTGACGTCAGCTTCCTCACAGGTACGTCATCGTGACGTCAGCTTCCTCACAGGTACGTCATCGTGACGTCAGCTTCCTCACAGGTACGTTATCGTGACGTCAGCTTCCTCGCAGGTACGTCATCGTGACGTCAGCTTCCTCACAGGTACGTCATCGTGACGTCAGCATCCTCACAGTTACGTCATCGTGACGTCAGCTTCCTCACAGGTACGTCATCGTGACGTCAGCTTCCTCACAGCAGACCAGGCGGCTATCATCATGGTGCTGTAGCAGACACCCTGTGGTGTTGTATTACATTATGTAGCAAGCGGCAGGACAGATTTGGAAGGACTGGTCACCACACACACCACACACACACACACACACACACACACACACACACACACACAC